GGCTCATAGGACACATCTGCAACTCTTTCCCACAGCCCAGTCTGCATCACCATGATTGACTGGTCCAGCACCCTGCCCCCACAACCTTCCAATTCTGTCTCAAAGGCCAAGTCATCTCTGACCAAATGTGTATCTCCAGAGCCTCAGCCAGTATCAGGCATGTGACAGGCAATAACTGTAGTGAGGTGAGTACAAGTAACAATGGATGTAAAGAAATACAAGCATACATCAATACTCATGTGTCTCGTAAGAAAAATAAAATACAATGGGGTTTTAGAGAAGCGAGTCAGCACTGAAGAATTAGGGACAGCTTCCGGAAGCAAGAGAGTTTGAGCTGTGCCTTAAGTATAGTTAGGAAGGTGGGAGGGCAGGGGTAGAGAGTGAGAGTAGGGTGGTGTGGCAACTAAGGATTCCAGATGGAGGAAACAGCATGTGCAAAACTATGGAAATCTAGGGAGGAATGAGGTGTGTGTGTGAGAGGGGGGAGACACACACCTACAGAGGTTGTGGGAGGAGGTCGGGTTGGAAGCTGGAAAGGGTGCTCATGCACACAGCTTAGGCATGCTCCTCTCTCTGCTCTGGGAATGAAATAGAAAATAAACAAACCTCAGAAATGAGAATTTACTTCGAGCCTTAACAAAGAGGTACATGCTTTTGAAACAAGAAAAAGGATAAGTAGAGGGGAAGGATAGTATCACCTGCCCAGGCCATGTGGGCTGGAGAATGAGGACAGTGAATGTTAACAAGTGATGAATAAAAAACAACTTCAGGGCAGTGATCTATTTCTCATAAGCCAAACCCAAGCAGAAGAACTCGGCCATAGGAAGACTAGGACTTTTTAGAACTTGAGCCTTTGACTTCTAAGAGGAGGGAGGGAGGTAACAGAAGTTCGGGAATCTTCAAGAGTCCAAACATACTAGTGCTTTTCTCATGTGCAGGCCAACTCCTGGAGACAGAATTAAGATATGGGGAATTATCAATGGCTCCCAGCAATGATGTCAGTTCAATTCTCTCTCAAAACACAATCTGAATAGTCAGCTCTAATATTTGATCCAAATAGCCTGAGAATGATGGATTCCTAAGCTACAGCTAGAGAGATTTCTAAGGAACCTTTTAAGAATGGGGGCCTGACCCCACTTATCTATTAATATAAATCAGAGCCAACAAATAGGATAGTTTTGGGATATGTATTGAAGCATTATATCATTTATCAGCAGTTGTCTTTTGTTTTATTAATTCCATGTGACCTTGAATTTATTATTAACAGTTAAATCCCTGAATAAAATGATGTTTCATATTAGTGTTATGAAATCAGCAAGAATGGAAAGATGATAAGACTATTCCTAAGACCTCTATTTTCAGAATTATAGTCCACAACCTGCTTTTGCATCAGAATCATCATCTATCTAACAAAAGGCATCATAATCTGAGTGAGGGGTCTGGAATATGACTTTTTGTCAAGAGGCTCAGGCAAATCTTAGGCAAAGTAAATTTTAAAACTACTCCTTTAATTTTGTGGGCAAGGAATGCAATTGAGTAGAAAGGGTACAGCAATGAATTGGAGAGAAAATTCTGTGAAGGTTTTATATGTCAACTTGGCTGGGCCATGGTGCCTAAATATTTGGTCAAACATTATTCTGGATGTTTCTATCAGAGTGTTTTTGGATGACATTTACATTTAAATCAGTGAACTTTGAGTAAAGCAGATTGAACTACATAATGAGGGTGGGCCTCATCCAATCAGTTGAAGGCCTGGATAGAACAAAAGGCTGATCTCCCCAAAGCAAAAAGGAATTCTCCCAGCAGTCTTTGGACTTTATCTGCAACATCAGCTCTTTCTTATCCACCAGTATACTGCCTTTGGAGTTGAAATGAAATTCTTTCCTGAGTCTTCAACCCACTAGCCTCTCCCCAATCAAATTTTTAACTCACTGAGATTCCACAATGAGTGGATCCAGAATAAGCCAATTCCTTAAAATAAATCATAAATATATTTCCTATTGCTTCTGTTTCTCTAAAAATCTTGACTAATACACATCTCTTGCACTTGGGAGACAGGGTTCATGGAAGCTAATTGAATCTAAAGAAGACTTAAGGCCCACACCAGCAAAGAGGTCTTTATGACTATCTGACACACCTTTCAGATAATTAAGGAATCATCAAATAGCAGCAGCCAACCTTGGTGACAAGATTCAAAGAGAAGCAGTGGCCAACAGTCCAAACATTTTATAAGAAAAAGAAAACATCAGTCAACTGTTACAACAAAAGGAGTTTTTTAAAAGGTAGCTTCCTACTGTGTTATAGTAAAAATTTTAAAAGACCTTCTCAGGATGGGGCCATATCTAAGAAGAGCAAGCTTAAACTTTTATTGCAAATTTCCCATAAACTCAGAACTGTGAAGTACCTCAAGACAAAGTATACCTGACAGAAAAAAAATGAACCCCATTACCAAATGAGAGTAGTGTGGTAATAACCGAATTGCTTTTATTTTTATGGATGATCCAATAAAAAGTTACAAAAATGATTAGCAACAGTAAAAAATTAAACTACCATATAGTTATTTCTATTTTGCACTGAGCTTAAGGTTAGACCATAAAACTTCTAAGTTTTAAAAAGAGTAAGAAGAAATAAACTTGACAATAACAGTCTTGTCAATCAATGACTAGTAAATTATGCAACAATCATAAGAAGCCAAAGGAACTCAAATAGACACAAAAAGGGTGAGCCTCCTTTGTATCCCCACTCCTGCCAATGGTTCAACTCCCCCTATCTTTTTATGAACTATAGGACTGGCTTCCAGATTGTTCTCTCCGAGAGGACGAAGTGGAGCTATGAATGGACATGGTAATTTCAGCCTAATCGTTTGCTTACAGTCACCAGGATGATTATAATGGCTCAAATTAGATGACAGCCATGATTTCCTTAAATCCACTGAAGGTGCATGTGAGCTTTGACTAAATCAACAACAGCAGAGGCTCCATACTCTAGAAGCCATGTGGTAGACGTGGTGGACGTGGGAGGTGGCACCAGAGGGAGGAGGTGTCATCTCAGGGAGAGGTAAAAAGCTATTCAAAGGAGCTGGTGCCCATAATGAACGTATTTCCTCTATAGCGATCTGCTAAAATTAGCATGAATTCCTCACTCAGGCATTTGAGTCATTTTTATTTTCCAGTTTTCCAAGTTACCTGCCAGGTGCTAACCACTTCCACAACCTTTTCAATGAGTCAGTGCTAAAGCACCAGGCACAGCTTCTGAGCAGGAGCATTCATGCCAAAGAGACCCAGGTGGGGCCACAAGCTGCCAACATGATGCCTCAGGATAACACGGTGAGTACTTTATGAATGAAAAGTTTACCCAGAAGTGTCATCCATCATAAGAGAAAGCTCACAAGGAATCTCAACCTCTTTGCCAGTCCTAAATTCTGAGAACAGCCCTCTGCTCCTTGCTTAAGACATTGCTCTTTTGTTGATATGAGCGTTTTGAGGGCTAATCAGGCCCCAAAATCATTCAAATTTGGGGAAGACCCATGTGTCCCTCTTTGCAGCCTCACTGGGGAGTTCTGACATACTACCATGGTTTCCATATCTTTTCTCAAGTTACTGTACTCTAGTTTGACTGTCACAGAACATTAGTGTCCTTCCTTTTTCCCCATAAAGTAAGTTGATGAATGAAGCTTCCTCTCAAGAAAGAGAAGCTTTGGGTCCAAGTTGGCTGAGACAGAAGGAAATGGACCCACAGGAAAGGCTCGTTCAGTAAAGGAAATCTCATGCTTCGCCTCCTGGCTTTACCCCAGGCTCTCTCCCCTCCCGCAGGAATTTCGTTTTTGACTTTGGTTTATGTCTGTGTTCCTCTCCTAAGATTAAGAAGAAATTATTATTCCCACTGCTTTCTTGGGTTCTGAAAGCAGTGGGAATAATAATTCTGCCCCCTCCAGGAGATATCTTACAGGGGGGGAAAAATGGTATGTTTGAGTCATTGCATTACACCTAAAATACATCAAAATCACGGGTTTTCTAAGATGGCATGAGCAATGTCTTCCAACATCCCTTTTTTCAGTTACCCCATTCCTTCCACTTACCCAAATTCCCACCACTATTACTGAAGGTGCTGGCATTACCACAAGGAGGTGTCACCAAAGAAAATTCACCAGTGCTACCCTTAAAATTGGTCTAAAACAACTCACCCTCTTTTTCTAGGGAGGAAACTTTACTTAACATGAACTCCAATATAAATACGTATAGAACTGGGGAGAGGGAAATGGAAGTAAGAATGCCAGAGCAGTGAGTGTTAAGAGCAGTGGATATATCCTTGTGGAACAGGCTCCCTGGTAAGGGTTAGAGTCTCTCACTCCTGGTACTCAGGTGGCACCTGGGGTCCATCTGCCATTGCCTTAAGAAAGCCCTAGGCTGATGGCAATTGGACTCAGTGGCTGCTCTGGTCCTTTTCTGGTCTGACTCCTTTACCTCATTGCTAACCAGAAAACGAGAAGAAATTGTACTCAGCCCCTGACACCCAACCCTTGACCCCTGCCCCTGGGACCTGAGCTATGAGGAACAAGATTCCGGTCCCCCACAGTGTTGACGATGCTGGTCCACAAATGTCAAAAAATGTCAGCCTTCAGGTCCCTGCCTCTTCTCCGTTCCTTCTCTTATTTTCACTTCTGTAAACTGTCATTAGTATGAGGGAAATGCAAAGTCTAAGGAGGGAATTCTGTAATAATTGGGAAATTAATGACTCTATGCTTACCTTTCCCTCCTTCCATTTCTCTTGCTTCTGCTACCAGATATGATGACAACTTCTTCTCATAGAAAAGTCTGGTTCATACCAAAGCGAGAAGGGCTAGCACTGCACAAACTCATTGTAATTACTTTAGAAATCATATGGAGATTTATATATCTGTGTGTTGCATACTGGCATATAATTGAAACCAGAAATGTGGGAGGCTCTTTAAAATACATTTATATCAATATATGTTTTCCAGGCTACCGGTGTCCCCTTACCTCTGCTGGCTTCGTGGTGCAGGCCCCTTTTCCTGAGCACTCTAGGTCACGTGCACGGCTCTCAGGTGGAGCACAGGTGCTGGTCTTCACCACCAGGGTCAAGCGCAAAGCCGCGATGGATTTAGAAACAGAATCATTCACAAAGCCTGAAAGGAAATGGGAAAGAGGAAATGTGAATTTTACCAACATTCTTTCTTTTTTACCAAAGTCTCTGAATTTAGTTTAGGCAGCATTCAATTCTGGCCATGAAGATGAAATGGGTTAAGTTAGGCAAAAGAATAAAGCACACACAGTAGCCTCAGGCCTTTCAGACAGCCACTCCCTCATGAGGAAAAACCAAGGCCAAAGAAAAGGAGCGGCTGTCACTTCAGTCATCCCTTAGACTCCATTCCTTAGACCCTGTTGCTCTGCTCCTGCCCTCACTCTTGGAGACCACTCTTTCTCTCAAGTTCATCCCTGCTCTAGCATGTGAGACTTCAACTTCCCTGATTTAAACCCATTTTCTCCCAGGAAGCCACCTGCCTACATCTCCCAACTCTCCTGCCTCCTGGTTACCTGGGGTAGTCACAGCACTAAATATACCCCCATTCCCAGCCTGCCTGGGCAGACTCTGTGCCTTCACAGGCAGACATGCAATACAGGTTGGTATTCTATGTTGGGTTTATCAGTGAATATCTTTCTTGATCACCAATCTAGCTACACAATATCAACTTAACTTACGTGGCTTTAATCAACTAATAATTCAGGACCAATGGTAGTTGAATATTTGCAGTATCATTGATGCATCATATTTATCATTCCATGATCTTTGTCTAGTATGGCTAATTATAGATAGTAAGTAGAAATAAATAGGAAGTAAATATAGTCTCCAATTGGAATAAAGAAATAAATCCTGTATTTTGTATCAATGTTATAATTATTTTACTGAGAATGTCTTTTTTCTAATAAGAATATTCACTTATTTATATTTAAATTTAAATTTCAAAATAAATCACTTATAATTAACACCTCCATTATCCATGAGAAGACTCCTGGGTTACCCATAAATAGTGCTCAAGACCAAGTGGTGAAAATGATTCTAGACAGTCATGCCTCTCTGAGCCCCAAAGTTCTCATGTGTTAAGTAAGGATAATAGCCCCAAATTAGGGTGGCTATAGAATTTATGATCAAAAGTGGGGTTCTTCTCAGATCAAAATAGGGTGCTTTTGTGATTACAATTGAACACAGGCATGAGGTGAGAGGACAGTCTCCTGCTCCTCATGTCCTGAGGAATAGCCAGACACCAGGAATCTGCAAAGTGCAGTCTTACATTAATGCAAGAGAGCAATTTAACAGGCAGAAGACAGGTGCAAAACAGAGCAGAATATTGAATCTAACTCACAAGTGTCCAGGTTATGATGGGAAATGAATGCAAGTCAGAGTAGAGTGGGGACACGACTCAACTCCTCATTTGGAATTAGGAGGCCAGTGTCTCTTGTAAAGACTGGTGCTGCAGGCCTGACTCGGGGTGACATTTTACATCCATAGAGACTAGCTGCTTTCTTCTGAAGGTTTCCTATTGAGAACTTTATGGTAAACCGGCTTTAGGACAGAAGGAACAGGATGGTTCAGGCAAAGGCAGCTCCTCAGTAGAGCTTTCTACTTCCTCCATTAGGGCCTGGCACCGGATAGACACCTCACATCTCTTCCCAGCCACCTTCACATGCGCTGCTTGCCCCAACTCTGTAAATGTTTCCATGAAGCCCCCTTTGGCCTACTCCCCTTTCTTCCGTCTCCTAGCTCAGATCATAACTTATTCATGAACTTCTCCTTAATATCCCAGCCCCCTCTCATCTCAACTCATCCATCTCAAGTACATACTATCACATACATGTCCCTAATTAGTTTATGTTTTGGGTGGTTTCTTATTATACCACCTTTACCAAATCTTCCTGATGGCTAGGGACAAGTCAGAGAGGTGGCAAGCAGGAAGTCAGGATATGGGTATATATAGGGTATCCCAAAAACATGAGTGCACACTTTAACAGAACAATTGATGTTTCTTTTTTTTTTTTAATTTTAATTTGTATGCATTTTATTTTTATTTTCATTTTTTATTAAGGTATTATATGTGTACATATCTTTTTCAGCCAGAGTAAGTGTTGAACAAAAGAAATTCATGCTATTAGAAGCTTGAAAATGCAGTTGAAGTACTAAGACTGACTTTATAATTATTCAAAATGTGTATACATTTTTGGGACACGGGATATACCCAAAATTTTATACACATTTTAACAACTGGTAACGCATTTAATTTTCACTCCTTTTCAGGTTTAACTGATTAGAAATAATAGGTGAAGCCAGACTAGGCTTGAGCAAAGGAAATTTAGTCATTAGACTTTTTTGGGGGGATACATGAAAGATAAAGTTTATGGTATAAAACCAGCAACAGTTGACTAATTGAGGGTGCACAAATACTGAACAAAATGATTCTTGATGTTTTCTATTTCATTGCTCATGTTATCAGCAGTGCCTGGACCTGAATGGTTATCAGTTTGAAAACAGGCATTGACAAAAAAAAAAAAATTATCCATGTCTACAGATTCTTTTAAATTTTGAAAATGAACTGCATGTTAATAAATACTGACTTTAAAATCATTCAAAGTATGTATACATTATTGGGGGACACTCTATATATGTCAGAGCAGTAAAAGGTAATTCCTGAAGATGAGTTTCCAGAATGTCTTGTCATCCAACATGGAAGGAGAGCAATTATTTGAATGAATGCGAAGATCCAAGTTTTCTAAAAAAATGTGGCTTATCAATTTGTGATTAGCCTTGATAAGGACACAGGTCCTGGTACAGTATTGGGATGCTTTCAGAGTTCTTATTAAAAAAGACATTTTTACAGATAAAATAATAGAGGTCAATCAGGTACCAGTAATTATAAAGGTGTTTTTCATACCCTTGCTATGTTCTCTACTTTTGCATTATGATTGAAATCTACATCACCTGTCTACTTTCTAAGCATTTAGACCACATAATGCTTTGTAATTCTTCTGAAGAGACCTCCCTTCAAAGGTTATTTTAAAAATTGTATTCAACTATTAAATGCACTTAGCTGGTAGAAATTCAAATGAATGCACAGCTAAAAATATACATGGTGTAGTTTTTCTAGATAATTTGCTTCCATTATCTCAATGACCATTTACTGAGCTGCCATCTACAAACCAGGGGCCGTATTATAAATGCTAAGGTTACAAAGATGAGTCACCCCTGGTTTCTGCCACACCAGCGTTCAGCCCAGAGTAGTGGGCCTTGCACTGTTTTGAAAGCAGAAGCTACATAATTTTACAGGGGCTTTTTCCAAGCACATGTTTCCAGGCTCCAACACAAATGATTCAGAATCAATAATCTGGGTGGGCCCCTGACAGGCATGTTTTTTGAAAAAAGACTTCCTAAATAATTCTGACAATGCTTCCAGTTAAGAACCACTGGTCTGACAGAAAAGCTAATCTAAATCATGCAAGTAATAGTATTATTAAGGTAACAACCACCCTGAATCTGAGGCACCTAGGTGAGCCTCTGAAAGCACATTTTATGCATCTATTTCTGAAAGTTCTGCCAACTCTGATTATTTTGACTGAATTGATATTCCCTCTTCTTCACAGGTCTCAGAAGTTCTTGGCCACAGCTCTGCTAAAGGTTTCTATATTAGCTTTATTTGCTTAATCCGACTGTGAGTATTTTGGCCCTAAAGTTCCTTAGTAAATGATTAAAGAAATCAATCTTTGTGACAGTGTGTCACACACTCCTATGTAATTCCTAATTATGTCGCCTAATCTCCCAAAGTGAGTCAACAGGATAAGCATGCTATTTTGGGCAATCTACTGCTCCCATGATGAGATCAGCACCGGGTGGCTCCTTCCAGGTCAAAGTATAATTTCAGTAAGTTGTTTGCACCTCTCTCTGACCATGTCTAAGGGAAAAGGCTTGAACTTCCTCGTCGTGAAAAGTGATACTGTCCAATTTAACTTTTACCAACCTGCAGCTAGGGAAAGGAGTCAAGTAGCCCCTGGGAAATGCCTCATGCCAAAATCAGGAGCTGTGTCCTTTACAAAGGGACAGTGGAAAGAATCAGTGTGAAAAATAATTCATCTTTTACAAAAGAAGTTCTCTGAGGCTGGATTCATGGTCATTTGAGAGTTGTTGAAAGTCAGTGTGATTTTTTTTTGTTGGGGGGAGAGGCACACAGTACTCATACTGATGGACACTTCTAACACACTTATAAGAAATGAAAAGCAAATGGTCATTATTTCTTTCTTCCTTAATGGTGTGATAGCAATATGCACAATGTAATTCCTGACCCAGAACTGGACAGAAAAGCTTCCTCACCCTCCACTGGAGTCTCTGAGGATGACACTCCTGTTCTGTCTGCAGAGACATTTCAGAGTGGGCTTTGGCAACACCTGCATTTTCTATAGTCTTTTCAAAATCCAAGGCACTGACATCACACAGGCCTTTGAACTTGCTCCAATTAAGGCCTGATTTAAGTTAAAAACAAGAAGGGGAAATAAAAGAAGGAGATTTATAAAAGAAAGGAGAGAAAAGAGGAAGGAGAGAGAGGAAGGAAGACTAGGCCAAGAAAAGGAAAAAGAAAACAAAATCACAGGTTAGGAACTGCATGAGACGAAGGAAAGGAAACATTCACACAGAAAACAATTGAAGCAGAAATGGAGAAAAGAAAATGATGGCTTTCTATCAAATGTTTCAGGGACTCTTTCACCTTTTATCAAAGGGACATTTTATCTTCTCATTTTCTGGGTCTTATATTCTTCATTGCAAACACAACAAATGTAAAATTAGAGTTCTTTGAAAGTCATTATGAATACACATTTGGTTAAATCATAATTGTGCACAGTTAAAGTCTATAATTCTGATTATGAGACTGATATTCTGAGGCACCCTAAATGGAGAGACTATGCATTCCATGTGGTGAGGTGAGGAAAAGTATATGGATGGAGGGAGAGTTGACCTCATTCATACAACATTCAGCTATTGTTTATTGAGTTCCCAAGCAGGAGGCAGGTTTTAGGTTGAACACTGAAAGCTGAGAAAGTGCCAAGGAAAGAGCTGAGGAGGTCAGCGTGTCAGATGGATGAGGAC